GTAGCCGCCACTATTAAAAAAAAACAAACTTTGATCCCCATTAAACTATGGTGTCCTGTAAACCTTCTTCCTACTGTCTAAATATAAGATGTCCCCTTCTACTCAGTCTTCTCAATCGGAGAGTCCGAAAATGGTGGTGGAATAAGGGAACAAAAGTACCAGAGTAACCCATACAAGGTTCGCTTATAATTCAGGCTAAAAGCCTTCATCGTAAGTAAGAACGAGACGCCATTTATAGAAAATTTTAAATGATCATAAAACAAAGGTACCTTCCATTGGCCTGGAAAGAGGAAAACCAGTGTGCAGATTTCTTTAAAGAATTTTACCCAATACAAGTTCTTTTCCTAATCTCTGACATGCCGATTGATACAAGAGTTCCCGAGCGTCTTAGCCGAGAAAAATCTTCGATCAATGTGCACATCAAATGATTTCAAAATGGTCAAGTGCAATCTATCCGTAGATTAGTGTGATGTTTGAAATGTGGCTAAGGCATGAAGTAATTACAAGCTTATTATTCACAACACGAGGCAAAGAGCAAGCAACAACAGTTGAACAGCTAGAAATAATAGGGGGAATTTCTACATAAAATATCAGTGAAGTTAATAATTAGCCACTACTCTTTTTTAGCTTGTGTTGAAATTAAATAACTAATTTAATGGGGGAGAATAGCATAAATACTCTTCTTCGAAAAAAAGGTGGCTTGCTGAGTTTGTTTACAACGCTTTCTAGCCACCCGCAGTCATCGGTTTGTTTTGGCGTTAGCCCGTCTTGCGGTGTCGGAGTGGATGGATTCCGCCACCGCTGTTTGTGCTGATTGTGATGCGAAAAATCCTCAGTGGGCTTCCATAAATCGCGGAGTTTTTATATGTGACGAGTGCAACGCAATACATAGACAGTTGGGACGACATGTCAGCCATGTGCGATTCGTGATTTTTGACATATTCCATTGTAGACTAAGCATTTATACAAGTCTTTATGGCGACCTTCCCAACTATTTATGGTACAATACTTGGCTCTTGCTGGGGCAAACAGGTTTTGGGAACATGTTTTGTTAGAGCCGCTCTTAAATAAACGGAATGAGTCTTCGAAAAATTCAACGGTGGCTGATAAAAACCCCAACCCGACTCACCTTTGCATCCAGTAAAAGCGGATTTTATTCGGAAGAAATATTTGTTCCACGGGTTCTTCAAACTTCCTAGCGTCATTCATCCTGATGATCTTAATCAGCAGTTGCATGCCAGTGTTCGCACCGCTGTTTTGGAGACTAGTCTATACCTCCTAGCCTTAGTGAGTCATTCAACCATAATTTTAGTGCTCAAATACGTTTTTGTTGAAGATATGTTACCGTTACCTTTTCTGTGCAATTTGGCGGCTTTGTTTTTTCGTTCTATCAAGTTTGGTGTAAATTAATTGTGACGATAATTCTATTACAGGGTGCGAACCCAAACTATATTCACCCAATGAAAGGAACATCTCCCGTTCATGTGGCCTGTCAATATGAACAAATTGGTCAGCTGGAGTTACTTATTGCTTATGGTGGAGATGTCTGTATACGTTCAGACACGGGTATAACGCCGCTTGAGGTAAGCTATCATTTTCGAATCGACAACTTTTCAATAATTGTTTTCGAAAGAAAATATTACTATCTAAGTGCTTAAAAGAGTGACTACACGAGAATCATGTATTTTAATCTAGTTTGTCAACAATCGTTTTTGAGTTAAAGCAATAATTAATTTCATCCTTTTCATATACCACTGCACTCCCTATTATTTTTTGCTATCCTTCCTGTGTGGAATTGTTTATTCGAGTTTTAAGTGCTCAAATCCTCGTAAAATATCATTATCAGCTCAGCTTCTTCAACCCTGTCCGCAAAATAAACTTCATCTCATACCTAGTTGGGATAACTAAACTTGCGTGTATTGTTGCGAATACGCCAATATCTTAAGGAATTTGGACATGGAATGTTATGAAAGGCGTCCATTCATGCGTTTTTCTCAACTCCCATCTCATCATGAGAAAAGGCGACTTCTTGTACCGGTTCTTATGGGTGTAAGGCATTACAAGTATTCTAAAGCCTATTAAATTCACCATTATATACGACTCTTAGGAACACATCAGTTGTTTGAACTGTTTCGTCTTAATGCTACGGCTTGAGAGTTGCACGGGGTGTGGTGTGAATGGCTCAATTTCCTCATTCATTGGCTTCCCCGTCTGTATTTGAGAGGCAAACGATCCTGCTGATTCAGATGAGTGTTACATTCCGTTGTCAGAAATGCATCTGCGATCGACTGTGTTTTTCCCTGAATCCTTCGTTTTCGCTCAGAATGAGCGTTTAGTCGTTTTCTTGTGTTTACTCGCATGTGCACATACACAACAGCGCAGCTGTGATCATTTGCTTTAACCTTTCACTCGCCCACTCCTATCCGCTCCACTACAGACAATTGCCATTTGCGTCAGTTCACTCAGTAGCGGTAAACGTCCATTTCACTAGCTGCGGTGACCAAACTTTCCCTTCGCTTATTATGTCTAATCGTAAACTTGATTCTAATGAAGGAATGCTGTGGACATAAGACCTCTTTTTCAGTGTATCAAAAACATCCATGCCTCATAGTTCTCTTTGACAACATTGCAAGCGAATATTTGCCGATCTCTTTCACACTGATTCCGCGACTGTTTTGGGAAATTGATGACTTCTACAGGCTCAACGGACGTAAATGTTGAAGGCAGTTATCCTCTCTATCATTTTTCTCAAACCTCTTCTTATCCTGTACTTTGTCCCATCCTCCAACTTTTTTGCCATTCATTGGTTGATAGATTGGTGTAGGAAAGGTAGCTACAGCTGTCAGTTATTCGGCAAGGAAAGAAGGAAATAAGGACGAGTTTATGACAAACGGCGACTAACTGGCGGTCTTATTTTTGGGTAAAAACCAAAGTGAACTTAAAGAATTTCGTTTATTTGGCACAACAAAAATAACATCTGTTGCAGACACTTGAACAATTACTCTTAAGAGCGGCAAAGCAATTACAATGCTCCTAAGTGTCGACGCCATTGGGTTGAAAAGGCGCCATTACTTGAAGGATTGAAGAGGAGAAAAGTCAGCATAGCATTTGTGTTTTGTATAAATTTGTGCTTCTGTGTAACTCATCATCGATTAATGGGTTTCAGAGATTGGTCCAATTGTCAGCAGCGTCTATACCGACTCCGAAGTACACCCACCTATCCGATTTCATCATTTCTGAGGCCCCACTTGCCGACTATTTGCATGTCGAACACATAGTGCGGATGAATACATAGTTCCTCTCTTGGAGTAAGGCTGGCTAATCCACTGCCCCTACTATTTCCTTGTTCCATGTCGGAGAGGCAATTTTGCTGGCAGGAAAAATCCCATTCTCTGGAACTAATCGCCCACGTTGTACAAGAAATCTCACACGTGCCGTTATGCAGATGCCAACTCTGGTCGTAGTTTGCATATGCTTTCCTGTGTTTTTTTGCTTTCATGCCTCTGCCGTCCACATGTCACACTTTAGAGTTGCATAATCCCACTTCCCGTCCCATTCGCTTGACTAAACACTTCTAGATAAGCTTCCTCGATGGTTTTTAAGCCAAATGGCTGAAATTGTAGTTGTTCGCTCTTGAGACCCTCTAATCATTTTGCTTTCTTCCATACGCATTTCAAGTAATTTAAGCTTACTTTCAACTCTGTTTTACTCCTCTAAATGCT